TTCACACTACTACTGATTTCACAACACCACGAACCACATAAACATCAATTCAACACTTACTAATCACATGCAAGCCCTCTTACAACCACTCAATAAAAATTGTGCATCACAARCACCACCACAWAGTCATATCTGTTACACCCGGTACAGACCTGTTTAACACCTTTAAGAGGGCACTACACGACCACAAGGAACTCGGCTAGGTCAYTGCATTACACTTTACACCACTCGGCCACTTACAGCAGTCCTTACACCACTCAACAACTTACAGCAGCCCCTACGCCATTCGGCTACTGTACACACAGCCCGTTCTTGGGATTTTCTCCAAGAACTAGGGTAACAATAAACCTAGTTCTCTAGGTTCTGATCAGTACTAGCAGGTTCTTGAAGATTTTCTACCCAGAAATACCAGCAGCACAAGGAGAAGAAATAACCGACCTTCTTTTGAGAGTCTCAACCAACCATTCACTGCTGAGGTCGTTTTTCTTAATGAAGAAGGTTATGCGCACAAGAGAGTGACGAGCTGAGATGTTTCAAACCTAGGACGAACCAGTTTTCTCCATTAACAGCCCAGAAACGAAGAAAGAGAGGTCATGAACACTGCTGAGATGTTTCACAAACTGAAGTAGGTCAGGAACATGGCTCTGATACCATGTTTCGACTGCTGCTACAGTAACCCGAACCAACAAGAGGAAGAAGAAGAGAAGAAGAAGAAGGAAAAGAAGGGACGGTAAACCCTATCAGTCGTAATAGTAATTAGTCTCTAATAATTTCTACAAAGACTAAACTGCCCTTACTTAAGTGTGGGGCAAAGTCTCTAATAAAACTGCCACATAAGCATACAACTTAACAAAGATAAGATGACTAAACTACCCTTATTCGGCTCACTTTAACACTTAGAAAGTGGTTCTGCAAAGCAGTAGCTGACCCTTTTATCCATTGGACTGCGGCTTCTAATCCCTCAGAGATTTTATCTCTTCCACTATGTACATATACTCCCATAATCCTTAGTTGTTTGTTACCAGCCAGCGCACCACTACATTTGACAGTATGGTGTTTTTTCCTTCATAGTCATTTTATGGGCAATTGCCATCTAAAAAGAAGAATGAAAAGAATCAAATCGCTGAAAGCTTATAGTACGATGGACAAGCTGATTTTTTTATTTTTTATTTTACTAGTCAAAATTGAATATGGAATAAAACAAATGTGGGTTACCACATTTTGCAACTGCTCCTATGCCTATCCTATTTATTTATTAATTTGTCAATAGGCTGGTACATCTTCTATGCCCATCCCAATTATATTGGGCAATTGCTATCCTTCTCTTCTCTGCAGTTGGTAAGTCTCCATATAAAGGACTCAAAGATTAGATTTCCATACCACGAAAAACTTATCTGTGGAAAAGAAATGAAAATGACATTTAACTGTATCATAATTTAACTGAGAAATACCCATAATAAATACCTTTGAGATATGTGTACCAAGACTTCTGTGTGCACCACAACACTTTAAGCATATAAATACTCCAATATTTGCTGACCTGAAAAGGTATTTTAAAAGATTCTTTAACACATTTTTATCAAATATAAGAAACTTTATTACAGCATTTGCCAGATGACAAGTCAAATGGACATATACATCCAAACTACTAAATATGCTTCTACAGGATGATTCATAAAGTGGAAGGAAAGAACAATTAATAAAATGGTAAACAGGTTATACCCTTCAGAATGTATTTCTATAGAAGGTAACCTTGTATAATGTGTCTGTAGAATTATTGCAACTCGTCCAATACATATTGGGTAAACCACTTAAATATACCCTGTGGTTTCTAAAACTCCTTAAATATACTCTTCTTGGTGTCCCCACTTAACACAAATAGCCCCTGTTAGTGAAACATTTAGGACCATTTACACATGATAAATGATCGATCATACATTTTATCACAAACCTGATTTTTCCACCCATGGTTACCCTGCTCACAGTATTGCAGATAATGCTATAGAGAGAGAGACGGACCAAACAGACAGACAGAGAGCTCTGTTTTATTTTGTTTTATTTTTTCTTTTTCTTTTACAAGGAGAAGAGGGTTCAGAGAAGAGACAGGGGAGATGCTAAGGAATGAATAGTAATAGAGGATTATTCATTTTCTATGAATTTATTTAGAGGTGAATGATCTGATCTTCATTTGTGTTTGAGAATGAGAAGAGAGACGAGGATCGTTCGTTTACTCGATTAGGTGATTGGATGGTACCTCCTTCCATTGTTTACGGTTTGCAATGGTATGAAAACTTTTGGCCTTTACCTGTTTTCCCATAAAGTCCACTGCACACATTTTTCTTATTTAATTGTCATCATTGAATAATTTAATTTGATGGTAGTCTTGCTTGGTTTTGGTGGTGCCAGAAGGAACAACCATGTCCATTCCTCACATGACAGTTTAATTCCTATGTCACAATCATTTAACTTTTAAGTTTTTCTTTGGATTTTTTTTCCAATTATTTAATTCCTAGTTTGAAATCATTCAACTTTTAAGCATTTTTCCCATTTCACCAAATTTTCGCTTGTGAGTATTTCACACAGGCTGTTGTGTTCCTGTTATGGCTGCGGCATGTTGTAAGGTATAACATAATTGTCAAGGCATCAACAAGACCCCCCCCTTTCAACTAATGCTGTGCATCTTTATTCTTCTTAATACAAAAGATTTTTATTAAAAATAAAGAGAAAATGAAATCCCCCTTCATCTTCCTTCTTCCTCTAAACCCCCCTCCTCTTAAGGAGGCTTACCCCTCTTACATTCTGAACTACACCTCATGCCTCTAGGTAGTGGAAACCTCGCATCACGCCTCCACGTTTTAAAACATTGCTCTCTCCTTCAATAACTCATGTCATTATCTCTCTCTCCAATTCATTACTCCATTAAATTTCATAATAGATTTATCTAATCTATATCTAATGTGTATAATTATAATTTAACTCAATTATAATTTCTTAGAATTCATTTTTATTGATAATTATAATTTAATATAAATTTATCTATATCTATATCCATTTCAATTTAACTATAATATTATACACATTAGATATATTTATATTAAATTATAATTATCAATAAAAAATAACTTCATTGAAATGGAGATATTCAATGATATATTGTTAGGCTAAATCTATCTACTTCAATTTAAAAGATAAATATTATTTAATTCACTCAACAAATAAAACCGGTGTTTTAAAATTTGACTTGGAGGCTGAATAGTTTGCCTCTAGGTCACAAGTCAACGGTTCAACTATCCGGGTTGGACAAATCAAACCATGAAACATCACCCATCTATATATGTATAATATGATATAGTTACATTTTGTGTGTTTATTATTTTAAGTTCAATTCATACTTTTTATTTTAGATTTTTATTTTTTATAAATGAAAAAGCCAGAAATTGAAATTTGAAACCATAAAATAAGTTTCTTTTTGTATAGGGCTGCAAAGATTGTGAAAAGTTACTCAAAATAAAAGGTCACCCCAATAAGACAACTAAGCACAAAGTTAAGTCCTCTAGAAGTTTTCAATACATTGTATATTGTAGCCCATGACCCTATGATTACATCAAAAGGATCAATGGTTGAATGGATTTTGACCAAATCAATGTTTTTTGACAAAATAATAGCTTTTAGGAAACCTAGAAATAGAAACAGGTCGAGTGATGGTTCGAATGGTTTAACCATCTAAGTTAAGGATGAGTTGAAAGCATTGAATAAAACATCATAAAAAGTATAAACCATTTATGTTCCATTTGAAATAATAAAAATTAATTAACCATAGTAAAAAAATAATTTATTAAATTACTTAAATAAGATAAAATTAATTATTAATTATTATTATTATTGATAAAAATAAAATAAAAAATTAATTAATAAAAAGTAATAAGATAAATGGGAAATTAATAATCCATCTAAAATTAATATAAAACTAATACAAAATTATCTAACAATTATTAGTTTTATAATTAATTTTTACTAACAAACTTAAATTCCATTGAAAAATAAAAATTTAATATAATTAGTTAAATTTAATAAGGATTAATAAAAAAATTAATAAAATTTTATTAACCTTAAATATAGTTTAATTAATTCAAAATCAACTTAAATTCTATTTAAAATGGGGAAAATTATATAAACCTCCTTGGATTTTCTAACAATCCTAACCTCCCCTCTATATGTTTTGACCTTAACAAAAGCCTCCCATATTGTTTTGAAATAAGGTGCAGATACTTTCCTTCCGTTAACACTTCAAATATAAATGTTGATGTAATGTATTAGTTTTCTTTAAATACCAAATTTACCCTTAACCATCTTTATTTCAAAATAATTACAAACAAAAAAATATTTTGGTAAAAAAAAATTTACCTAAAAATAATACAAAAATAAATACCAACCATAAAATTTTAAAAATTAATAAAAAAATATAATACAGATTTATCTAGAGCAACTTGAATTGTGGTCGCTAATAAACTAGACATAACCCAAGAAAATGCTTAAAATGGATTTAGATGAACACCTTTTAATTGAAAATGTCATAAAGATCCTTCCTCAATTCTTCTTAATAAAACCCATGCATCGCACAGGTCTCGACTAGTATTTTTATTTTCACCATCTCCTAAAGCATATTTCTTGTCTAAGGTATTACAAATTTTAAAAACATATACATACCAGTAGTAAACATTGCATATTTCATTTCACAAACCATTCAGTATATAATTTTTGCAAAGATTATAAGCCTACGACGAAGGCCCAACAATAGTAGAATGGGTTGGTTCCTCCTTGTCAGCATGGACAACCCAAGGATTCAATTGAATTAAAGCAAAAGCCACCCCTATTTGTTCAGAAGTAAGCAATATGTGTTGTCTCCATTTCTTAAAGTTAGAACCATTAAATGGTTCAATTCTAAAAGAGTCCAAAACTGTAGACATTACCTAGTTCTCCATGACAAAACTGTAGAATGGGTTGGTTCCTCCTTGTCAGCATGGACAACCCAAGGGTTCAGTTGAATTAAAGCAAAAGCCACCCCTATTTGTTCTGAAGCAAGCAATATGTGTTGTCTCCATTTCTTAAAGTCAGAACCATTGAATGGTTCAATTCTAAAAGAGTCCAAAACTGTAGACAATACCTAGTTCTCCATGACAAAACTTGCTCTTTCTCTTTCTCTTTCTTGACCCTTTCTCCTCTCTTGCTATATTCCTCTCTTTCTGTCTTATGATAGTTTATTTCAGCCCTACTACATCAGTTTTGGTATCATAGCTAATAATTAGTCACCATCTTCTCATAAAGTGACCGATTTTATAGGCCTAAGGTATCTTCTAAACAATCTCATGGATCTATAATCAATGATGATCAGATTTTTGAACCATATTGTAGAGAGACTGGGCCAAATGGGCCCTAGCCCATTAGTGCCTTTCTTATTAGTTCTTTCTTGTTATGTTTTTCTTGTTGGGCTTTTCTTTATGGGCCTTTAGCTMTTGTTTATGTTTTCTAAGTATATTGCTGATGTGGACGCCTACTTAAGGGTAGTCTTGTAAATTATGTAACTTAAGTATGTTTAATAAAAGATTAGTGGGGGAAAAGAGGGGATTATCGAACTCCTCCTTTCTTTCTCCTTTCTTTCTCCATTCTTCCTCCTTCTTCGTGTTATCTTCCTCTTCTTCTCTACTTCTTTTGCTTGAATCTTAATTTTTTCTACTAAATTTATTGGTCTGAATCACATCTTGGTATCAGAGCAGGTCCCCCTTCACCTTTCTTCTTTTTCTTTTCTTTTCCCATACACTTTTTTCTAACTGAAAGGTGTATGGAGAGATAAATTGCTGATCATTCAGAGAGCTTGTTTGCCTAATTGGCAGAGGGTTTGGAGAGTCAGAATCTGATTGCAGATTGCCAAGAAAGTGGGACTGCAGAATTTTTTTCCCAAAACCCTAGCCGACTAGAGAGTTTCCAGTTGCGGGTTGAAGAGACTATTTGGGTGTGACACTCAAGGCTTGGAGGGTTCCTTTTTATCTCCAAAAGTGGGCGGCTGCAATTGGAAGTGGTTTGGATAGCTCTGGTTTGAGCAGCTACCTCTTCTCTCTTTCTTCCCAGAGGCCAGGTACAGTGAAACCCTAGTTTCGGGATTTTAAGTGCTTGAATGACCTTAGTTAGGTCTATAAAGGTTGATGTAAAAAGACTGGGCCGAATGGGCCCTAACAGCCTCTCTTGTAATATCTTTTATTTTATGTTGATGGGCCACACTTAATGGGCCTGTTATTTATTCTTGCTTTATTTTTCTTTATGTAACTGCCAAGCTGGCCGCCCACTTAAGGGCATTCTTGTCATCATCAAATTTTTAGATCTTAATAAAATAGGGTTAGAGGAGAATGGAGAATTTTTCTACTTTCTATTTTCTTTTCTTTCTATTTTTTTCTTCTTTCTATTTATTGCAGCAGCTTACTGTATAAATATGCCGATTGGCAATAGAATGAAATACATCAGTATTCTACCATTCCAAAACAGAAG